CGAGTTGAATCCTATATATAAATATTGAATTTTATTCAACTGAACTTTCAATATTACTACTTTGGCTGACACGTTTACTAAAAATTTAGTCGCATCGAACAAGCATTGATTCACTGCACTGTCGCACTTAAGATCAAATTATAATATGTGTTCATAAAATATTTCTTTAGACATCCTACGACACAGAGGGTGAATCACCCTAGAAAGTTCAAAATTCGTATCTAAGGAAAAAAATAAAATAATCAAAACTTTATTATCATCTCCTTCATATGATAAATGACTTACGAATAATTTCAGATAGGTTGTACATTCGCAATGTTAAAAAAATAATCCCAGTATTCAACAAAATGCTACAAACATGCAAGAATCGAGAGTGAAAATGCTCGAGCATGTAATGAAAAAAATAATAGCCGAGATTTTCCAGAATTTTCCCCGGAAAAAGTGGCCGGTCTTTGAAGAATTGTTTAAAAATCGAGGGATTTCGGAGCATGGTGACTTCACACGACGCGCGCGCGGTCCTCCAGACGCCGGCGCCGCTTTCCCACAATTAAGAAGGCGCCTCGGTATCTCTTGGCGCCTACCACGCACGCACGCACGCGCCGCCTTCGTGTAATTCTGCGTACACGTTCCAAGAGAGTACGCGTAGAATAATAAACAGCCGCCTCGGTTGGCAAGGGTTGTCGGTGGTTGCTCTCTTCGTTCGCGAATTAGCGACGAGTTCCGCCGCCTCTTAACGAGACGCCAATCGAAATACAATGTTCCATTCGCGAGAACTTTCAAGTGCAAAATGTCGAGCGATTAACGTCTCGAGAATTTTTGTCGAGCACAGAGGGAAATCACGTGGGCAAGAATTTCCAATTCGTAATCGTTCGTTTATAAATTAACACGACAGATCTTAAGTCTGGGTTTCCTAACCTGTTGAACGGTGCAGCTTCATTTCAAGAATTTATATTTACGTTGTGTAGTTGAAATTAGAAGACGACGCAGAGTAAATGAACCCGTTGTAAATTAATAACTTAGAAAATGCCAGTGCACCAATATAAATAGACTATTAATTATGTATAAATTCTTATCCATCGTTTATATCAAAGGATTCCTTTTGTGCGAGTTTCAATTGAAGTTCAATTAAATTTACAATCTCATTTAACAAACTTCTCAATAACTTGTGTTTTATATATGTAAATACATAGATAATTTATCTATAATGATGAAGATGCCCGATTGAGAATTGATTCTCATTTTAGAGAATAGAAACACGGAACAATGTTAAATGTTTTTCAACCAACTAAAAGCAAGATCCATAGGAAGGAAAAATATACAAGGATAGAATAAATAATCGCGTGATTTTTTAAGACCAGGTAAACCAAACCAACTCAGACCTTTAAACAAGGCGATTTTTTCGAATTCCACAAGCGTCAAGGGTTTGGGATGTTGGAAAAGACGCGTCTGGTATATGTTACTTTCGACTCGTCGATGTCGCGGCCTCGAGGATGAACCACGAAGATTTCGTCCTGCCTACGAAAAATGGATTGTTTTGTTTTCTTTTTCAATCCCGTTCCCGCGATCCAGTCACGAAATCGATACATATAGCGATCGGTATAACTTGTCACGTTGTCTGACACATCTGATGAGTTTTGTTTTCTCAAAATTCCGAGGGATATTCGTTGCTTCGAAGACAAGAAATGAAACAGACAAAAATTATATTTTTCATTTACCGTCCAAGAAAGAGCGACGTATAATATATTAGACTTTGGCTTTGGAAAAGCAAAGATAAGAACTCTGAAAATTTTTTGAATAGATATTCACAATTGAATTCCAGTGTTTCTTTTAAGGATGGAAATTACTGTTCTTAATTTATGGAGCATTTTCCTTTGATTTAGAAAGGAAGGAAAATCGACACGCAAATATGAAAGAAAGAGAGAAAAGATATAACACTCCAAAAGTGACACCGACAATTTGACTCTGAAGAAAGAAAGGATAAGAAGAAACACAGTGCTCCAAAAATTCTTTCAATAAAATGCTCGCAATTCCAATGTCTCTTTCAAGGATGAAAATTATTATTTTTAATTTGCGGAGAATTTTAATTTATTATCTGACTTAGAAAGAAAAGAAATACAACCAAAATACTCCAACGGTGACATACAGGCACTTTGAAAAAAGGAAGACTAACAATAAGAAGACACAGTGCTCCAAAAAATTTTCAGTCACATCAAATTCCACCAAAATGCGAGATTAATTACCATTTTTAATTTATGGAGCACGTTTGAGTGATTTAAAGGGAAACGAAGGTTGGCAAGATTACAGAAAGGCAGCGATCACGCGAATCGAGATTTAATCGCCGGTTTTAGAAGTCTCGTTCGCGGTATGTCTGGATTGGTTCGGTTGTTGAAGCATAGGCGGGTCTTTGAGTCTTCTCCTCCGCCCCAACGTTACTCACCGCGTTATGGCTGTTCCACGGCAAAAACCGATTTGCCGTCTCCTTAATTGACCACGCACTTCCGATCCTTATAATTATCATGCGACGCGAGGATGAGTCGATTTCTTTTTTCATTCTTTTTTCTTTTTTTTTTTTTTTTTTTTTTTTCAATTTCACGAAGCGTCAACCGATCCCTGCATTCGAAAATTCTGCCCACAGTCGCAGAAGAAGACGCTTCAATTCGACGTAATTTTCTAACGTTTTTCAATCGATCGTCGTAGATACAATTGTGAACGTTTACTAGAACAGCCACCGCGGTTAGTTCGAAACTGTGTTTAAGAAACGGCCCCCGTAGCCGTCTTCGAATGGAATTCAAGAATCTCATAAAAAAGGCGTAAAAAAGAAACGACGAGCTACCGAAGCTCATCCTACAGCTTCTCGATAAGAACCGTGTAGTTAAACATTAGAGGGAAGGGCTTGGGACATAAGAAATTAATATATACAACCAATTAAAAGCGCATCAATAAACAGCGAGACGAATGTGAATGAAGTAATCACACTCCACTCTAGATTAAATTTGATTTTAAATTTATATACACCATCAGTCAAAAATCTCAGTGTATATTCTGTCTGTGAAATACACAGATCTTCTAATATCAGTATATAATAAAAATACCAATAATGCTCAGAGTATCTTTTTTTTTTTATTTCTACTCGTATGGAATACACTGAATATTATTTTATTCGCGTACTACGTCCGTGCGTAATGTAACCAAAAAAAGAATCGATATATTAAATTAACAATAAGTATGAAATACAAATGCGCCAAAAATTGTGAAAATGAAAAGAGAGAGAGATACCTGCTCGAAAGAAGAACTCCCCTGTCGTGAGCCGACCGAAAGACAAATTAAAATCTCCAATCAGAAGATGAGACCACCCCGTGGAGCTCGTGCTCGCCTCGCTGTACGAGATTCACAGACGTGGCGGGAGCGTGCTGGTAAAAATCAGTCGCACACGCACACGCACTCATCTCCTGTGTTTCTGTGTGGACCACGGAGGAGAGACCAACACTTGACTCCCTCTGTCAGAACGAGTCACATTGAGCGTCTGCCCTCCGGCCTGACCGTTCAGCCGTGACCATCATCCCCCGAGACGTGGAAACGTTCCGCGAGCGTTCAAGGTACTCGCGCGTGTTCGCAGCCCTAATCAGCCAGTTCCAATTTTCACGGTTTCGTCTGGTAGCGTTCGCCAGTGTCACCCACACCCTCAATTGTTTCAAACACGATTAACTTTCCCACGCGATCCCTCAGGCGAGGAGGTTGCTTTCGAATTATCGTCGAGGATCACCGTTCGTTGAAGTGGAACGTTGGTTTACGAGTCGGTGGTTGCAAACTGGTGGATTTGACTGTCGTCCTAATTTTCATGCATGGGTGAAAGAAGGAATTGAGTTTTTCAGTTGTTTGAGTGAAAATTCTTTTTTTCTCTTTCTTTTTTTCTTGGAGAACAATGGTGAAATGAATTAGAAATAACGAAGAAATGTGGAAATAGATCGGAAATTTACAAAAATGGCACTGTTCTCTCGGAGAACGACAGTGAAGTTCTAGACTTTGTGAAGGATACAGAGGTGGATGAAGAAAGTGGCACACTGTTTTTCTTCTTTTCTTTTTCCAGAATAAAATTGTAGAATCTGTTGTAAAGAAGAATGAGTTGCGAAAGATTCTTTGACTGCTACTAATTTTCAAAAACAAAAAAAAAAAAAAACGATAAAATAGTAAAATTCGTTGTATATAATTGTAAAAAATTATAAATGTAGAAAGAACGCGGAGGTTCTTCGGTTCTTCACTGTTTTCTCAGGAAACAGAAAATATGATAAACTAGATGTGTTTGAAAAGTGACAGTGTCGAACGTCGAAAACTGTCTTCTGTCCGCGCGACGGAACACTTGAGAGTGGAGTTCATATCGTTGGAAGATTTGGAAGACGATCGCGGACATTTCGCGAGAATGCGTTAAAATGTTGTCGTCCTCGGTCTCTGGAACCCCGTTCAGCGTCCGTGACATTCTCAGCGAGGATCAGCAGCTCGGAATCATGGATTGTTACCCCCCTGTCCATCAACACCAGTTCCAGCAGCAACACGTGCCTCAGGAATATTATGGTTACAACGTTGTGCCAGATAACAATTGGGACGCAGAGAAGTTCAAGGAGCAATCGATGATGCCGACTTACGCTCACTATCCTGACTTGACGCACGTTCATCATCAGTTGAATCAGATCGCCCCTCCGTATCAGGATCCACCGGTTACAGAGGACGGTGCGTAAAATTAAGTGTACTTTATGGCTAATATTCCATTTCTTCCATTCTTTGTTCTATTGATTCGTGAGTGACGCAGTGATGGGAATGTTTTACAGGCAACGTGGTTACATCGAGCAAAACAGAGCTGCGGAAAAGTCAGTCTGGCAAGAGGACGAAGAGGAAGCCGAGAGTGCTGTTTTCTCAAGTAAGTAACAGGAATAATCACGCGATTTCCTTTTAGTCGTCTTTTACGACAATAATAATAACTTCCATAGGGAGTTATTATTATTATTATTATTATTATTATTATTAGTCGATCAAATATCGTGATTAATTAAAACCATTCACCAATTCGTGGATTTTTGCAAGGTGTGAAGGTGTAAAAACCAACAGAAAGCAGAAAATTCATTTTAATTCACACAGAGGATCTTTTATGTATTTGTAAGAAAATTTCAAATACGCAGAATATTCGAATATCTTTAATTTCGACTAAACTTTCACCACTCTCAAATTTTCTACTCAGATATCGAAAATTTTTAAAACTTTAATCTCAATTAAAAACCACCCTCGACCCTTTGCAGAACCAGGTGTACGAGCTGGAGCAACGATTCAAGCAGCAACGATACCTGAGCGCCCCGGAGAGAGAGCTGCTCGCCCAGACTCTAAAACTGACCAGCACCCAGGTGAAGATCTGGTTCCAAAATCGGCGTTACAAGAACAAACGCGCGAGGCTGGAGGACGCGGAGAAACTCCAGGCGCAAAACATAAAGAACCAATCGCTGAAGAAGATCCACGTGCCAGTGCTGATCAAGGATGGCAAGCCGCATCATCTTCAGGAATCCTACAATCCTTCCTACTGGTCGAACATCAGGCCAGAGTTCCCGTTACAACCGGACTTCCGAATGAACGAAATACGACTGAGCCCCGAATTCAGATC